CACCGCCACTGCAGGGTGACGATTTTATCCCGCGAGCAGAGGTAAGACGCGCCATCATGCGCCTACCTAACCGCAAAGCGCCGGAATGCAACAGTATCACCACCATGGGTATAAAGCAGCTGCCCAGAAGGAAGATTGTGGAAATCTCCAAGCTCTTTAAAGGCATTTTAAGAACTGGCACCTTCCCGACCATCTGGAAGCAGAGCAAGATCGTCGTGCTGCCAAAGCCAGGGAAGGACAGGAGGTACCCGGCTAGCTATCGCCCCATAACGCTTTACCGCACATATCGAATCTTTTTGAGAAACTATCCCTAAATAGATTACTGCAGCACGTTGCTCTGTGAGAGGAGCAATTTGGCTGTACTATAAATGGCCGACCAGTGTTTACTCAAGAAGCTCTGATGGAATTAAAATTGACAGCGAAGAGTAACCCTAATAAAAAAAATATTGTACCTTGGTCATGGAAGAAATCAAAATTAAGCAGTTGACGGAATACTATGTTAGAATCCAAATGCAATATGGCTATGTCGACTACGGGTTTGACATTATATCCGATAATTCAACACGGCCCACAACCCGGCTAGGGTGGTGAGCATGTTGCGCGGGCGAAACGCCATTATCGATAACAACAAATGAACCTTGGAAGGTAGGAAAAGGTTTAATTTTAGATATAACTTATCTTTATCTTTATATTTATTTTTAATATAACTTTTTACATTCGAAACATTTTTACTTATAGTTTTTTATCGATAGATACCTAAATAATAATTTATTTTACATCATCATTATTCTTATTTTAATAAATACGTTGTTTTGTCTATTTTTTTTTTCATTTTTATCACTAACCCACATAATGACAAAACTAAATACACTATCGATAACGCTTATCGACAACAATAATGCGCATTACTATGCTCGCCCCTAAGGCCCGTGAGTGGGAGAGAGTAGAAAAAATAATTCTAGTATAATAAAATTATAATTTTATATAACCCTAAAAATACCTTCACTGCTGTACGTATACGGAAGCTCGGGGTTTCTCTGCATGATAAACTTACAAATAAGGATATCTGCACTAGAACCAGAGTGATCGACATAGCTCAACGGATTAGTACTTCACAGTCGAATTGAATACCTCCTTTTTGAAGTCGGTTAAAAAAGGTTCTAGTGTGACAGCCTCGTACCGGTGAGTTAAGTGCAGGGTGACCCCCACTAGATGCAGTGATGACCTAGTAAGGTATGCAAGAAGTCGATGGATGCATGTGTTAAATAGGGTTAGACTAAGTTACAAAAAATACAGCAACCCCCTGGACAGGATATCATATCGTCTACTGACCGACCGCTGCAAAAAATTAGCTTCTGAATGCTACAACGCATACATTCGTAAAATAGAGGACGGAATTTTAACGATCCCGAAACAGTTCTGGTCTTATATTAAAACTAAACGCGGTGGCTCTGGAACAAATCCAGCTACGATGACGGACGGTAATACGGTGATACAAAACGGTAATGACATATGCAACAGCTTTGAATCTTACTTCTTCTCTACTACCTCAAATCTTGGTGTCCCATGTGACATAAATACTGACGAGAATATTTTCGGTACATCAGTGGGGGGAGCAATCGATTGTTTTTCAACTCTAAATCTTTCCCGCAAGCAAATTTACAAAAAATTAGTCAATATTGATGTAACGGGAGTTGGATTTGAGATGGGAGTGATAATATTACACCGTTGTTTATTTCACGATGCGCGTCATGCTTGGTGGAACCTTTATTTATTATCTTTAATAACTCATTAAGTTCTAGGGGTTTTTCCAAAAGTTTGGAAGGTTTCTAAAGTGGTATCAGTTTATAAGGCAGGTGATGCTCAGATCATTAGCAACTACAGGCCTATTTCCATATTGTCCTCATTAGCTAAAGTATTCGAGTCTCTATTCTTCAAGCCTACTTCGACAAGTATTTAAACGACAACCAGCACGGCTTCACAAAAGGTAGGTCTACTAATACTAATCTGGTTACGTATGTGGAGGACATTGCATGTCACATCATCATTGACATCGACGGCTTCTGACAAAACTATCTGCATACGGAATAGGGGGTTCTGTTCTAGCTTGGTTCGAATCGTATCTAAGTGAACGTTCTTTCTATGTAGTCGTTAATGGTTTTAGCTCAGAGCTACGAGATATCACTTCTGGTGTTCCGCAAGGTTCACACCTAGGCCCTATTCTCTTCAATATCTTTGTGAACGATATACCTAATTATGTAAATTACTCGTCCCCTTCGATGTTCGCAGATGACCTAAAACTGTGGAAAGTAATTGAAACACTAGATGATGTTTTGCATTTACAAAAAGATCTTGACGCGCTAGTGAAATGGTGTCAGACGAATAAAAAAAAAAAAAAAAGGAATGGAGCACAATATCAATAAATGTGTTCACATTAAATTCACTAGGAAATTGAATCTTATTCCATCCATCTACAGCATTAATGGCATTCGATTAGGAGAAAGACAGTAGTAAGGGATCTGGGTGTGCTCATGGATAATAAAACGACATTTGTCCCACATATTGACTACATCATAGGCAGGGCGTCCAAGATGTTGGGTTTTATTATCAGGAACGCTAGAGTATTCAAACGCCATTCCTCAAAAATTGCGCTATACAATAGCTTGGTTAGATCGATCCTTGAGTATGGAAGTGTGGTCTGGCGTCCACATTATGCTACTCACACACTTCGTATTGAACGCATTCAAAAACGATTAGTAAAACACTTGGTGTTCTCACACTTCTGGCATAAAAGATTTAGCCCCTACAAGGACCTACTAGAGTTCCTAAAGATGCAGAGCTTGGACAACCGCAGGGATATACTTGACCTATCCTTCTTTTTCCAGATAATAAGATACCAGTTGCATTGTCCTGCACTCCTGATAAAATTTAATTTTAAAGTTTTGTCACGAATGCCTCGTAAGCCCATCGAACCTCTCTCTCGTCCATTTCGCAAAACAGTTTTGGGAGCCAAAAAAATGTGGCTCAGGACCATGCTTTATGAACATTTCTTGGGGGAGGCATATGTTCAGCAGTAAACTTATGAAGGGCTGTAATGGACAAGAAAAACAGTAAAAATCACTTTTACTAACGCTGAACTTATGAGCCTTTTGATGATTTGTTTATCGGTTAAAATATCAACAAGGTCCTCGCCCTACGTTGCTTAAGCATGTATACAGCGGCGTCAGTGTATAGACACGTGTACAATTTGATGGATGCGTAATAAACTTGAATTGCACTTAAAATTTTTAAATGTTTCTTTTTGTCAAAAATTAGAAAATTACGGAGCATGAAAATTTTCTCACCAATGCCGCGGAGAAATTTTGTACATTATTCAACTAACTTCATCTACTTGTATTCATAAACAGCTAACGTCGCAGTCACTACTCACCGACGTCAGCGCCGCTATAAATTCTACAATTTTCAAGGACAGGCGCGCTATGCTTTAGTACGTAGTGATGGTTCTCCTGAACTCTAACTATGGAGTGTAGAATAAAGGAGTACCAACTCCCGTAGTAGAATAGTTGAAAAAGTGTCCATCTGTAAGCGGTAAATAACAGTTCAAAAACTCTCCACAACAGCGCTGGAGTAGCTACTGGGATGAAATGAACTTAGCAATTGTCGACGGTTTGAAGTGTGCTGCTAAACTGCTCAGTAGCTCTAAAATCTAAAATAATTTTATTTAGTAAATATAACCTCGAAAAAGTCGTCTATCCCACTAATATTTTTCGGCACTTTCTTTAAAATTTAACCCGTAGCTATAGTGGCACCACCTTTTTTTTTAACGGTTTTCTATGGACACTTTTTAATACACAGCCTGTACTCCTTACTTCTGCACTTCATAGTTTTCTGTTCTCTACTTCATAGAAAATAGTCTAGTTATTGTCTATGCTCAAAGTTCTCACCTTCATGGCATAACATATAATTAAAAACATTTTGGGAGTTTTGGCGCGAACTTGGCCGTAGACGGTTTGTTGCTCCTGTTTCGTCGCCTAAATAATGGTTTGAAGTGGACTTTGTGTTTTGAAGTGATGCTACTTTGTGAACTAAGTGTCCGCGCGTGTGAACTATTCGAGAAAACGACGAAACAAGTGCTTTGATGTCGATATAAACCTCAAGTTATTTTGATCGCTTGGGTGCCTTATGAACTTGAGTGGCTGTCGTCATCAACTTTCCGCTGGGTTGAGCTGTCATCAAAATCTCCCAAGGGCTTCGCAATGTGACGCATCAGCATATTGTGAAGAAATAATATTAAAATGATTCAGAAAGAAATGTAATAATGCTCAGAAGGGCTAGAACCCAGAGCAGTAAAGCCAGTTAATAAAAAAAATTAAAAACATTATTTTGCTTTTTCTTGTCGTCCCCCGAAAATCGAATGAATAAAAATATAGTCAACCAATAACTTAAAATTCTGTACGCTATTTTTGTTAAAATATTAATTTTATAGGTAACATATTTAAATCTATTTTTTGATTAGTAGTAGTAGATTGATTAGAAAATGAATTTTATTTTCAAGTGAACCCACCATATTAAAATAGTTATTTTATAAAACGATTCGCTTTTGAAGAGTAGTAAATACGTTCCAACGAGAAAATAATCTTGAAAACCCTTAAATTCTCAAAGTATGATATTTCTAATAACATCGCTTTTTTAATTGATACAGCAGATGCAGCTCATTTTATTCAGTATATATGATTTGTTGATTTTGCTCTTTAGACATACTGCTTATAGTAAAGTTAAATGTTAAAGTAAAATTACAGCCAATATCCAGGCACATGCCTCCCCTAACTTCTAACTTCTTATAGGGTTGAGGGGCAATAACTGTCACACTGTTCCAGTCATAGATATAATATATATTATATTTTTACATCAGACACTGGTTTCCAGAACTTTAAATTGAAAGTAATAATTTGAAATCTATGTAGGTTTTTCATGATACTCCTAATTCATCTCTTTTTCAGACTGACATAAAGGGATTTTTGAATAAGAAACAAATGGATGATAATAGTAAGGGTATTGCTAAAGACATTGTAATCTCATCTCTACCAATAAAGTGTTCTGTTAGTGTGAAAGTAGAAAAATGTGATCATGATTCTATGAATGAAAATGGTCCAGTTAAAGAAGTTGTTAATTATGGTGGCACATTCAGCATGGATGAATGTGGTCTTAATATATCTGAACCTGCAGGAATTGGCACAGGTACATGTATTTCTATAAAATAATAAGCTAGTATTACTTCTGAGCATTACCTGCCATGATGTCAGTATCTACTTTTCTGCGAGCAGCATCTCCCACCACTTTTTTGTTTTAGCTTTGCATACCAACTTTAGAAAATAAAGTTAAATATAATAGATTTACAACACTTTTAACCCTTGAACATGTCCACGTATTGTGACCGCTGAGTACAGAGGACATGTATACATGTCCGCATTACGTGCTGCTATTTTCGTCATTAATTGATATAAAAATACAGTATATTTTCGATTGAACACTATTTCATTCGATTCTGAACGAACTAAAGAATATTCTGAAGAATTATATTCACTCGGTTACATAGACAAAATCAAATATAACAGCCATTCGCTTTTGCGTGCCGGTGCGGTTAGTTGCGTAATTGTTGAAGTTTTGTGTATTTTAGTTGGATTTTCTTTCAAAAAAACTAAGTAATGTTATTTATCTTTACTACGTAATGTTTTTGAATGATTTAAGTTACAACAACAGTAACTTTTTATGTTCCAATTGATAAAAAAGTAGAAATATAAAACCTCTATGCAAACAATTCATAACAGTCAAGATTTCTAATAAGATTCTAATAAAATAATAATAGTATATTTCTTATTGGAATACCATAGTAAATACTTTGACTAGGAATTGCTAAATGTTATATCTATATGATTGTATAAGAAAAATAAAGGAAGACGATATAAAATATATACACAAAAAGTTTTGAAAATGAGTTTACAAAGCACGCGCAAACTGTCTATTGTCTAATTGCATTTTTTGCAAATGACATAAATAACATTTTGGCAAATGTTTGCAAGTGAAAAAGTAGAATTATTATAATTATTACATGCATAATTTCGGTTCATTTAGGAAGAATATGTTGTATTGATTGTAAGGACATAAAAATAAAATAAAAACTGACGATATTTCATTCATAAATAAAAGTTTATCGGTCAGTAAGTAAACACTTTATCAAGATCGGTTAGAAACAAAGAGATGTACAAAATAAAATAAACATTTAAATGTTATGGTTATTGTTTCTACTTATCAAAAATCTTATCGGCTTCAAATAACTGTAACTAAAACCTCTTTAAACATAACGAGTCGTATAAATGTTTATAACAAGTGAGGACAGAGTCCCCGGTACAAAGCTCTGTTTTTTGTTATGGCGGGCGCGGCAAGGGAAAGGTTAAATCTGAATTTTTTATTCCTAACCCAATTAGGGGGCGTAAATAAATTGATCACAATTTGTCCTATGAATGTTGTAAGGAGTGACTACTTGAAATGCTAGAAATATCTACCGGTCGAGCAACTCCGCCTGTGTTGCATCCCGCGCACTGCCGGTCCCAAGTCCGGGTAAAGGAGGAGAGTTCTTCGTAGGACCAACAACCCTACAAGGTAAAAACCCAAACGTTCCGAAGTCCAATACAGAAAAATTCAGATTGCTTAAAACCCAATGACCTTGGCAAAGACTTATGGAAAAACGATTTAGCCTACGAATCGGTACATGGAATGTGCAAACTCTGCTACAAGCTGGAAAAATGGATGAAGTCAGCCGCGAACTGAAGACATACAACCTCGATCTAATAGCACTTCAAGAAATCAGATGGCAAGGAACTGGCACCATAGACAAAGATGAGTATACACTTCACTACAGCTGTGCCGACATTCAGGGACACCGCGGCACTGGTTTCATCATTACTAAGAAGCTTCGGAAGTTGCGTACTGGGCTTTGAACCAGTCAACGACAGACTATGCAAAATACGGATTAAAGGAAAACTCTACAATACTCTACAATACAACAACCCTACAAGGTAAAAACCCAAACGTTCCGAAGTCCAATACAGAAAAATTCAGATTGCTTAAAACCCAATGACCTTGGCAAAGACTTATGGAAAAACGATTTAGCCTACGAATCGGTACATGGAATGTGCAAATCTTGCTACAAGCTGGAAAAATGGATGAAGTCAGCCGTGAACTGAAGACATACAACCTCGATCTAATAGCACTTCAAGAAATCAGATGGCAAGGAACTGGCACCATAGACAAAGATGAGTATATACTTCACTACAGCTGTGCCGACATTCAGGGACACCGCGGCACTGGTTTCATCATTACTAAGAAGCTTCGAAGTTGCGTACTGGGCTTTGAACCAGTCAACGACAGACTATGCAAAATACGGATTAAAGGAAAACTCTACAATACTACATATGTCTGCACATATTCACCAACGGAAGATGCATCAGACGAAGACAAAGAAAAGTTTTACGAGGAACATCACACATTATGCAGTAAAGTACCGAAATATAGAAAAATAATACTCTTTGTGTTCTAGGTGACTTCAACGCAAAAGTTGGGAAAGAGAATGTTTATGCGGACGTGATTGGTAAGCATTCTCTGCATGAAGACACCAGTGACAATGGAGAACTTTTGTGCAATTTTGCATTAGCAAACAATCTTTTTATATGAGGCACGAAATTTCCACACAAAAATATACACAAAGGCACCTGGAAGGTTCCCGGTAGGGCTCAATACAATCATATTGATCATGTGTTATTTAGCAAGCGTAGGCTGTCCAATGTTCAAGACGTTAGGGTATACAGAGGTGCCAACTGTGACTCTGACCATTTTTTGGTTGTTGCTTCCTTAAAGGAAAAGACTTGTAAAATTCAGAACGCTAAAGGTGAGAAATGCATAAAATGGAATAAACTAAAAAATGCTACTAACGAAAAATTGTATGAACAAGAATTAGGAAGGCAACTTACTAAATATGTTCCATGTAACAACATTGATGAGGAGTGGCAAAATATAAAAACAGCGGTGACAGAGTCAGCCAAAAATATTATTGGAAAGGCAAAGCGTACAAGAAATATGGAATTGTTCGATGAAAAATATATGCAAGCACTTACTAAAAAGAATGAAATGCGGCTTAGATATCTACAAAACAACAGTGTAAGAAAATGAAGAACTTTATAAGACTGAGAGCAACTAATGTAGGAAATTAGCGAGACGCAAAAAAAGGAACGCAGAAAGAGAGCGATTCAAGAGAATGGAAGACCTGAGAGTACGTAATTTTACACACCCCTTCTATAGGGAAATAAACAGCCTTTGTAAGGGATATCAACCCAAAACCAACGCATGCCAAGACAAGTCAGGGAGTCTAATCACGGAAAAGGCAGACGTGCTTAGGACTGGCGGGAACATTTTAGCGAACTCCTAAACATATCCAATGCAACAGATAAAGAGACCATCTTTTTCGATGTTGAGGAGCGATTAGAACCACTCACAAGAATGGAAGTCCATCAAGCCATTCGTAGTCTGAAGAACAACAAGGCACCAGGGCTTGATACTATCACCTCAGAGCTACTCAAAAGAAGCGGAAGCGGTATCGTGAGAGAATGCACGGACTCGTTACTCTTATATGGGAGGAAGAAAGAATACCCGAGGAGTGGAATTCAGGTATTATTGTACCGATAATCAAGAAAGGGAATAAGATTATCTGTAGCAATTACAGAGGTATTACAGTCCTCTCAGCGGCTTATAAAGTTTTGTCAGGAGTTATTTATAGGAGGCTCTGTGGTTATGCTGAGGAGATATTGGGAGAGTACCAATGCGGATTCCGACCTAATCACTCTACTGTAGACCAGATTCACCTCCTGCGGCAAACACTGGAAAAGGCGTATGAATACAACATTAACTTGCATCAAATGTTTGTGAATTTCAAGCAGGCATTTGACAGTGTGAACCGTACACAAATACTCTCCAGCATGCTGCATTTGGGTTTGCCCAGTAAATTGGTTAGGCTTGTCGAAGCCACGTTAAAGCACTCTAAAGCTGTTGTAGCCATACAGAATGACCTGTCCGAGCCTTTTGAGGGGCGTTCGGGAGTGAAACAAGGAGACGCGCTATCGTCTATAGTCTTCAATTTCGCACTTGAGGCTGCCACACGTAAATTGAACATCAATGACCTGATTAATTACACCACTCACCTCGCTGCGTATGCCGATGATATTTTTATTACCAGCAGGTCAAGAAACAGGATGATCAACCACTGTCTAATGCTGGAGACCGAAGCCGCGGCTTTTGGACTGTGTGTAAATGCATCCAAGACTGAGTACCTTGCAACAGCTAGACAACCTGGACAGCCACAAAACGTTAATGTTGGCAATCAAACCATAAAAGGCGTGAGCAGCTTCAAGTATCTAGGAGCAATGATTACCTCCCAAAATAGATCTGACGAAGAGATTAAGGCACGGATAGTTGCTGGGCACAAATGTTATTACGCGTGTGCCAAACTCCTGGGTTCTAAGCTGCTTAGTGTGAAATCGAAACTCACGATCTACTACACCATCATCAGGCCTGTTGTGACTTATGCCTGTGAAACCTGGACTTTAATCCAGAGAGACGAACTGAAGCTTGCCGTGTTCGAAAGGAAAGTGCTGAGAAAAATCTATGGCCCCATCAAAGAACGTGACTGTATCTATCGTCAACGCATGAACCATGAACTGGACGCACTTATCGGGCACGAGAACATCGTCAGGTTCTGTAAGTCGCAGCGACTGAGGTGGGCGGGTCACCTTGAAAGAATGCCGGATACTAGAGCCGTAAAAATAATGACAAAGTGGAGGCCGCAACAAAAGAGACCGAGAAGCAGGCCTAAAAAGCGTTGGAGTGACTGTGTGGAAGAAGATCTCAGGAAGATGGGAAAGTTTACCAGCTGGAAGAAGGTAGCCAGGCAGCGTGACAACTGGAGGAAGATTGTGGAGGAGGCCAAGACCCACAAAGGGTTGTAGCGCCAACGGAAGTAAGAAGTAAGTATCTACCAGTCGAGCAGACACATTCCTGCTACTATAATGATATAGCTACAGCGTTTTTTATATGTGGTAGAGCAATACTGCAATATTATGGTTGTAGCACTAATTGGTCGGTTCGACCGGTGAAGGACCACACTCTCACAGAGTACCAGCGTATAAAAGCATCTTAATACTGCTGTTCTGTATGGTGAGTATAGAGGTCTGAAGACTTTTTTACTGGAACGAGGCATTCCATCTTAGTCCTAAGAGGTGACAATGCATCATTTTGATTCTTAATCGAGGATAAATGTAGATGTTTATGGGTCACAGCATCTACTTACCATCAGGTGGACTGTGAGCTCGTTTGTCACCTTTATTCTATAATAAAATGTCTCTACCATGTATAAAATGATCCACATGCTGCAAATGTTCTTGAAAGTCTGACATCCATAGGAGGTAGTGTTATTTACCATAATTAATACAGGGCAGCATGAGTATGAATCTATATGAATTCAATTTGAATTATTGACCATGGTTTTATTGGCGTAATCCATTCACCATAACAAGTTTTTTGAGGCATGTTGCAATTTTTCCAAACATCTTTATTAAAATTTGGTACATAACTCCTTGCTAGCGCTTTTGTTTGCACTATTCCTGTGTTTTATGCAAAATTTGTTAAGTTCTATAGTGCATTGATATTGGTATTAATACATGGCAGTTCAAAAATATAGTGAAATGAAATGAAGATTTATTTGCTTTGAAAAAGGGTACATTTAGGTGGTTATTGTAAAGTTAGTTCAGATTTTTCAGCCATCTGTGGATAGCATGCAAATACATTTTTTATAATCAAGTTTACTATATTAAAATATTGAATTCAATTAAAATATTCATCATAAAATAGTCATCGTTTACAAATTACGAATACTAATACATACAAATTTAAAAATAATTAAAATTGAAAATGCAGTTAAAAATATAGAACTACTGTTGTGTCACATCATGTCAAATTTAGGTAGTCATTCACATTATAAAAACAATGATCATTTAGCCACCTGTAAAGGGCGCCTTTAAATCTATTAAGGGGTAAGTCTTTTATATTTTGGGGTATTTTATTGAATATGAGTATACACATCCAGTAGCAGTTTATTTAAACCGAGCACTCTGGGTATAATTTCACCAGCAAGTCTATTGCCATTTCTGGTATTTTGCATATAAATCTCTTTCGCTTGTCTGAAATAATACATGTTTTGTTTTACAAACAGTGATCTTATAGTGATAGCTTTGTATGATGATCCCAAAATGGGTGTGAATCTGAGTCTGTATTTCCAGCTGATCAACCACATTGAATATAATAAATAACTTGAAATAATGTTTTATTGCATTTTGTTTCTATTGCTGTGCCTTTAGCATTAAATGAAACTCACAGCGATCAACAAAACCAATGTTGACTTGTTTCGATTGTTTGTGGACTGGTTGCAGTCATTCTCCTGAGATATAAAATATTGGCTTATACACAATCTCATAATCATGGGATATTAAAGTAATTGCAATTGTTGTTAAGATATAGCATATTTGACATTGGTTTTGTAAGGTTCAATATACCAAAGGAAGGCTTGCTTGTAGTCCGTAATTTTCTGAAAATGTCAACGTTTAATTGTGATAAGGGTGACAAACGAGCACACAGTCCAACTGATAACAACATTTATGCTCTATTGAGAATTAAAACGCAGATGCGTTGTCACTCCTGAGGACTAAGATGAAATACCTCATATCCAGTAAAAAAGGGTCTCAGGATCCGGAGCTGCTATTTTACGCTAGTGTTCTGTGAGAGTGTGGTCCTTCCCCGGTCGAGTCGACCCATTAGTTCTATGACCATAATATGCTGCAGCGTGGCTCTACCACGCGTAAAATGTGGCTCCTTTCTGTAATTATGTAATGTAACTCTCGTTGTGTTGCCTTGAATCATACAAACATCTAATAGCATCGCGTCAACTATACCTTGATGACGCAAATTGTCTCGTTTCAATAATAATATCTATCATACCAGTCTATATCATAACATTCTTTTTAATGTTGTATTCCAAAGTATATTTTCGTAAATGAGCTATCTATTCTGAAGCAAATTTTTCACGCTTTTGATTACAATCATAAAATTTATAGGACACATGTTAGGTTTTGGGTTATGATCTGTTAAAATCATTTCTATTTTACTGAAGATCACATCAACCGATTATTTTAGAAAAATTAATGCAAGTAATGTCTCGATTGGTCTCAATACTGTATTATGTAGCTTTAAGGCAGCGAGCGATGTCCAGCACAAATATTTTAAATTAACTGGAGCTACCTCAATTTCCGTAATGTATGAATATGTATTGAGAAATAATAAATAATTTGTTTAATTATGTAGCTAAATATAATTATATCAATATAATACTAAATTATATTTAACAAATTAAATGCTGATTGAATAGTATAATTTAACTGTAGTGCAAATCAGAATAGTCCTTGGATTCTTTTGAAAGCGTTTGTTTATATTAAAGTGTTAGACCAGGTAGTGGCGGTGTAAGAATATCCACATCCCTATATCATCGCATGGGTATCGTTAGAGCCGACAGAGGGAAACAAATCATGAGATGGGTTGCAGCGTCTTCCTTACAATACAAATAAAAAACAGCAGTTGCCAATCCACTTGCCGAGCGTGGCAACTATGGCAGGTGTCCCCCCTTGAGGAAATACGTATGTGATAGAGCCATGCTGCAGTTATATTAGTAGTATTGTTGTAGCGTGAATGGGTCCGCTTGACCGGGGAAGAACCACGCTCTCACAGAATACCAGCGTAAAATAGTTTAATGCTGCTGTGCTTCGTATGGTGAGTGAACCGGAGACCCTTTTTACTAGTGTCGAGGCATTCAATCTTAGTCCTCACGGGTGACAACGCAACTGCATTTTGATTCGTAATCGGACAGATGTAGATGTCTATGGGCCACAGCAACCACTTACCATCAGGTGGACTGTGTGCTCATTTGTCACCTTATCCTACAAAAAGAAACCTATGGAGGAGGCCTATGTTAACAGTTGACTTCAATCTCCAACTACATTTTGTGGTATAAAACACTTAACCCAATAATTGTTACAGCCTATTAAAAAAAAGAGTATATTTTCCACTACAATGAGCTGTTATGGTTACAATTAGTCTAAGCATTATCTTGAATTTCGAAACATAGCTTAATTGCAAACTGTTAACTTTACAGAGGATGTGGGTAAAAAGTATACAATAAGAAAAGTTTTAGCAAGAAATGAAAAGGAAATAAAAAGTAGAGTAGTGCCTGTAAAGCAGTATACTATAACAAGAACTTCGATATTAAAAGCTGTTGAGGAGCAAGCAAAAGAGAATACTAGTTTAGCTGACAAATACCTAGATATAGCTGTTAGGAATTTTTATGGTGAATGTAGAGATACTCCAAAAACATTTCATGATAAGCTTATCTATGATGTATTTGAAAGATGGAAAGATTGGTATGAGACACATCCTGAGTTTAGAGGTTCACCTTTGTTGTACATGTGTTATATTTGCAAAATAGGCTGGTGGAGACTGCACCCATTTAGAGAACATATGAAGAGCCATGGTGAAAATACATTTAAAATCAGAACTTTACCAAGAGATCAAGAGTTTTACATGGAAGCATTTTCTAACCGGGTGCTTAGACCTATAGATATAAACATTATTTCTAATTGTTTGAAATGTGGTAAACCGGACAAATATCATAACTTCAGACGTCGAACGGCAAAATATAAGTGTAAAGGTTGCGATGCTGTATTTTTTACATGCAATAAACTCGATGAACATGAGGGTATGTGCATGTTATATATGAAAATGAAATGTGACAAATTAGGAGTAGAGATGACAAGTGATTTCAAAACATGTCCAGTGTGTTTCCGATACTGTCTAACTCAAATGGAACTTGACACCCATATGACTGACCGACACTCAGTACATTCAGATGATCCAATTTTAATGCAAGCAAAGTTATGCAGTGCTTGCAATACAAAGTATCATATTTACAAATTCCATGACTGCCCGGGAAGATATAAAAATATAAAGTGCGAATTTTGCTTTAGGAAATTCACTACCATGTCGTTGCAGTACATGCACATAATATTCTCTAAGAGACTTGTTAAGTGTACAGTTTGTGACAAGTCCATGTATCAGTGTATGCTTCTGGAGCATATGTTGCATCACTCTAAGAATTACATGCTTGTGCCCTGGTGTAGTAAATGTAAAAACAATTTATTACACATTATAAACTCTTTTTACGAAAATCATATTATGAAGAGCCATGGGAGATGGGTGGATAGAAAGAAATGGGGTGCAAAGGTGAGATACTTTATTTATTCGCTCCTTACTCCCTGGGTAAACCTGACTTTAAATTTAAATTCTGAAGATGTTCTGCTGGCATAAGTGTGCTGGTATATCATCCTACAAGGCAATCTCAGTGGGTGGCATATGTTCCACTTGACTTTTGATAGACCATGATGAAAAAAAAAGTTTGCTTTGTAAACACAAAGACAACCATTTATTTTAATCTACTATATTAGTGTATGAATATCCACCACCCATAATAGTACCGTGGGTGTTGTGAGAGGCGATAGAGGAAAACGAACTAATAAGTGGGTAACTGTATATTTCTATAATAATATAAATAAATAAAAATAAAAATAAATGAGGATACCAACATTCCTGCCAAGCGTGGCAACTATGGTAAATATCCCCTCTATGAAGCAAGCTATGGGGGAGGCCTACGTTCAGCTGTCGACTTCTAATAGGCTGTAACGGTAACAGTGTCTAATGTAAGGTAGAATTGATGAGATCAGGAGTGAGCTCGTGTGCAGTTTCGGACACACAAGGCAAATCATAACAACCAGACTGGAAACAACTTCTGTTATTGTAATTGTTTCCTATGGGTTAGATTGAAACCCAGGTACTGCATTATATTGGACGGGTCCTTCAATCACACCTACACAGTTTCAACAGATTTTATAGTGATTAATTATATTTCTGAAACATGATATGTGCTATTTGAGGAAGACCAATGTCGTTCAGCACTATAGAAAGGTCTATGCTTGGATTTTCTCAGCTTGACAAAACTTCATCATCATCACCATCACTACATTCTATCCCTTCGCCTCCTCCTCGTCCACCACCACCACCACCACCACTACCACCACCACCATCACTAACATCATATTAATCATCATCACAGCCGTTCACAAACAAACCGATACATCCATTGCTGAAAATATGCCTCCCCAAGAAATGCCACAAAGCAAGGTCCTAAGCTACCTGTATCCATCGGCTTCCTATGATAGAACTTATAATGGAGATATTCGCAGTAGAATAAGATTAATGGCAACAAACTCACTATATTCATTGAAGAACAGAGAACTGATTGGGAACAAAGGTTCTGGAGTGGCGGCCTCACAATAGTATATGTGTGTATGTATTCTAATGGCTCAACTGTGTTTTCTTTCATTCCTTGGATACCTTGCGGAAATGCTGCGAGGGGATTTCAGCCATTAATATTAAAATAGTCAATCACACCGTAATGTGGATCCAGGAAATATTGTTTCACCAGCTGTACAAGGCCACTTGGTTTGTAGTTCAAGTTGACATAGGGCTCCCCTCTATTCGCCCTATCTTTCGAGATTTTAGTAGGGCCGCACCGCTGATGCGGTGGTGGAAAAGTGTCGGTATCGCGAGGCGCCGCTCCTTCCTACCCTCCGCGACCTAAACTTAATTGCCGGCAGAGCCGTAGGGGTTGCTATGCTTTCGAGTGATATATTTTTATGGCCCCATGGTCTGTCCGTGCTGGACTCAGGAGAGGCCACAGGAAGGTGCATCTAGTGTTCTGGTGCACCTCACTTGAGAAAGAGGACGAGTTGTCCTCCCTCGAGTAGAGGCTGCTATGGGGTGACTATCACTGGTAGGGCTGCTGATGTGCGCGAAAGCGTTCCCATGGCCACTGCCAATATGCGACGAAGGTGGAACACTATGAACACCATCGAGTAAAAGTCGTTGCAATTCCGACATATCCCGCATTTACTCCCGCGGGGAGGGTATGCGTAGGCATATCCCGTGTATAAGTTAGTAGTCACGGGGCTGTGGGAAGCTTGAAGTTAAATAAAGTATAAATATAAACAAAGTTGAATTGTCTGTCTGTATTATATTGAAATAGTTTCAAAATATTGAGGGTAGGAGATTATTTACATGACATATCTAGAGGCTATATGTTATCTGAAAAACCTTGAACATTTTCAGAAGAAATTCGATTATCTTATGTAGGTGAGTCAAGGGCGGGTCGCTAGTTAACAAAAAATGCTTTATTATATTCTCTTATTTGCTAACATATTTTTTATCTATTGCATTTGTTTGCAGATGTTAGTACCTATGAAATGCATTACTGGAGAGATTGTTCACTCGGAAACAGTTCTTAATATTCCTGGTGAGTTTTAAGTTTCTACCAGGCCTTCTTTATATGGTATAACAAACAACTGTACAATATAATCCTATCATTAAATACAATACTATATTTAAGCTTAATATTGGGTCTGTGTACCTACTTAAAATTAAAATTATTAATGTTAAAAATGAATCAGAGCTAATCTTAGTGCTCTGTAGTATATTACCGAGAACGTTCGATCCCCGCCGGCATCAATGAAATTGTTAAATGCAATTTTAAGTGTTAATTTACTACGTGCTCCGCGGTGAAGGAAAACATCGTGAGGAAACCTGCATGTCTGAGAAATAAGAAAAATGTTTTGAAGACATGTGAAGTTCGCCAACACGGATTGTGGCAGCACGGCGGACACTTCCTTGCCCTAAAACCCACTCAGAAATGAGAGGAGGCCTGTGCCCAGCAGTGGGATTTATATTTTTTATAGGATAATGGTGACAAACGAGCACACAGTCTGCCTGATGGTAAATGGTTGCAGTGGACCATAGACATCTACATCTATCCTCGATTACGAATCAAAATTCAGAGGCGTTGTCACCCGTGAGGACTAAGATGTAATGTCTCGTTTCCAGTAAAAAGGGTCTGCAGTTCTCTACACTCACCATATGAAACACAGCAGCATTAACCTCTCAACTGTCCCGGCCCAAATGGTCGCTTTGGCGCATACTGTCCAACCCTAAACGAGTGATTTATTGCCTACGTGGCGCGTGTCATTAAAATGGCAATATCTTAATAATTATGAATGGAAACTCCATAAAATATATGTTGTTAGAATTATTGTTAAGTAAGCTAATAGAATATGTGTAAATGTGTACATTCACCTTTTTTATATTTTCTAAATTCCATGGTAAAAATGCTAAAAGCGATTTTTTTTCCTATAAAAAGAAATACAGTGTTTATTATAAATATACTTATATTTTAATGACATGGACCCGATACTCTGCATTCATCTCATTCTCTCAAAGTTTATTTTTTTGAAGGTTTCACTTCTACCGCATGTGAACTGCACACGTTTTTTTGTGAAATGGAATAATTGATGAAATAAATGGTGATGATTACTTTTAAAATTTAAATGTCACCACATTGATAGATCTAACTCGGGCGAAGTTGTTGCAGGTTGCTAGTTTTATCAATAAATTTAAAGTAAACTTCATAAACGACACATTTTACATTTTATTTTTTGTATTATCAAATGCATACAATTAATTTGCGAGCGTTGTATGGTTTGCCCGGGACGGGGTGTGCCTGTGGACTAAGATGGAATGTCGCATTTCCAGTAAGAAGTATCTCCGGTTCTCTAAACTCACTGTACGAAACACAACAGGTATTCTGTGAGAGCTTGGTTCTACCTCGATCGAGCCGGCTGATTTGTGCTACAGCGATAATATCGCTCCAGCATAACTACCACGATTTGTGTGAAAATAACAGTAATTATTATTAATGATACTTGGTAATGTTAGCAAGTCTTGGCTCTTTACTTGTAGTATAAGCGAATATGATTATTTACATTCTTCATTACTCATTTTGAGTTGTCTAAGATGGTCCACAGTTGAAAATATAAATTTTAACAATAAGCGTTTTAGATCCATACATACCGTGAAACTAACACTTGTTTTCGAGTATATATTACAGCTAGAGCTTGTCAGGCATCCATTATATGTGTTGAACTGTTTAATGGGTTTGTCTACAATGCCTGCATATATATTAATATGATACACAGTAATGTATTTCAAATGAATCCTTGTTGGATCAACCGATTGAACTTTTTATTCTATTAAAAAAATGTTACTTCCGAAAAAGATTTCTTCTGTATCTTGGGGGTAGTTTACATACATAAAATTTTCAAGGACAAACACTTAGATCCGGGACAACTATTTGTAGACCATACAAATACTTGTTCCGTGCGGGATTCGAACCCGCGGCCCTTAACGCTGCGACCCATTTTTAAGTCCCTGCGCTACAGAGCCGATTACAGCTTGTCAAAATACAACTGAACATCCTCCATAGATTGATTGGTGGATATTTACCATTGTTGTCTCTCCTTCATACTTTTCAATCTTCATCATTATCCAGTAAGAGGTCGCCTCTGGACATAAGTCTCCTGTTGCATATAGGATTTGCTTTAATCGTTTGCAGTACCAGACGTGAACTGCTCTCACGCTGCTCCTCATCGCATATCTGGGTGTTTTACATTTGATTTGACGTGTAGTGGCGATGTAAGATTATCCATACACCATATCGTTCCGTGCGTGTCGTAAGAGGCGACATAGGGAAACATACCTGGGGTATAGCAGCAGTTGCAGGTTACAGTTACTCTTACGTACTCTTCAACTACTTTTTAATGTGAATAATATTTTTAGCTGTTTTATAATAATCTTTCTTACTTTTATTTACAGAGAAAGACTTAGAACTTTTTATGAGTGGATTGGAAGACGATGGAAGTAATTCCGAAGAAGTCGATGACGACATTATAATCTTAGATGATGGTGGGCCTATGCCAGTTTTGCCAAATGAAAGTAAAAAATGCGATATAAATACACTGCAAGAACAATTAGATGCAGAAGTACAAAAGTATGTTGAAATGGATGCAGCCATATCTAAAGTTTTCAAAACATCCAATTGCTATCGGAGGTTCACGGAAAAGGAAACAGAACAACCTTTGGAGGATAATATGTATGATGATAATGATGATGATGACCTTATTCTTCTTAACAACTCTGATGAAGTAACAATAATATCAGATTCTGATGACGAAAACGAGAATGAGAACTCTAAAGAATTTGTAGAAGACAATGTTAAAATTATAAATTCTATAGAAAGAAAAGAATCTAATACAAATTTAAATACGAAAGTGAAGGAAGAACCGAACGATGAAGCAAATATTTCATGTCGGAAAGATGGTACAATAGAAGCACATCCAGAGCATAACACAAAAGTTGACAATTTAATTGCAAAAGATAATTCTGTAATAGAAAGTTATAATGTGGTGAAAGAGTCTCATTCAGGTCAATCAAGTATTGTCAAAGGAAGAAAGGAAGATAAAAGTACATGTGCGCAAAACGAAGCTTGTAATACGGATTTCAGAACTGGCATGAAAGAGAAACTAAAACATGACAATTTAAGGTCGTGTCTGGGTAATGGCACAAATGCGTCATACCTACAAGACAAATATTGCAGTTTGAGGCATAGTATAGAAGTAAAAGTAGAACCAGGAGACGTTTCATGTCTACAAGATACAGAATTAAATTTACATCATAGTACTGATATGAAAGAAGAACGAGAAGACGAAATAATTATGTCACATTCAAGTGTAGATTCAAATGCATCATATCCACAAGACGTAGAATTTAATTTGAATCATACAACTGAAGTAAAGGTAGAGGCAATAGATGATATAGTTATGTTTCATTCAGGTGATGAAACTGCGTTATGTCCACAAGAGGTACATTATGACAAGGTTAATAAAATCGGGATGAAAGGTCTATTATGTGATGCGGCATTATCGTGTGGCGAAAATAAGCGGCTAGCAAAGAAGAAACGTAACGAAAACTTAAAAAATTATACTGTTACAGGAGTATCAGATAAGGGGGATGCGGGAGAACCTATTAAAGAGAAACATGATATATCTATTTTAAACCTTGAAATCTTCTATGCATGTAAAAAGTGTCCGTTTCGGGGGTGCTACAATGAATATATTGAACACATAACTTCGAGTTGCGTTGCTATGTCTTTTTGTTGTTCAACTTGTACTATAGTGTTTTCGACTTTAAAACTTTACGTGCACCATTTAACACGGCATAATTACAAATTTTTAACATGTCCCACTTGTAAACAGCAGTTTAACGAGGACTCGAGGTTGTGCTCACATATAATTTCACACTTAAAAAACTTCTACATGAAGTCGCAAGATGTACAAAACATGGATCTATCACCTTCACAAAAGAACGATATCCTTCAGTGTATTGAATGCAAGAAAATTATTAAATCAGAACAAATCTTCATTCATTGGGACTTGCATTTGAAAATGAAAAATGATAAGAGAAAAGCAGATCATAATAAGGATAGTGATGATGAAGCGGAAATGAACTCCAAACTTACAAAAGAACTCTTAGGTACTGTCCCTTATTTTACATATAACTCCTTTTTACCCTTCGACGGAAACAGAGGGTTGTTATAGGTTTAACGTGTGTCTGTCGGTCAAACGAACGAACCTTTTGATTTAAAGTCAACCAAATCTGAGAAACACATTTTGACAGCTGTCAGAATTATTGCACCAAGCATGCCATCCAAAAGATGGGAACGTACAATATTCGATTCTTAAAAAAATCGATATCGATTATTTCGAGTTGGTAATCATTTACTATTTGGTTTGAATAATACCAGAATAAATTAAAAACGGATAATTTAAAACACAAGATTTATCAGTTTCTTCGTATTTGTTGTTACTGCTTATTTCTAGAGGCACAGTTATAAAAATTTAAGATAGAAACATGATTAACAATAAATTTATTCGATCACTTTCAGTACAACTAGTAGGGATGTCGTTGTTTATTATTTAGTCAATCTCTTGGTAGAAAAAACAAGAAAATAATCAATTTTGTTGTTTTTTCTACCACTTTTGCCCAATCTTCCTTTGCGACACGGGCACATGCTTCAACGAATATTTTTTTATAGCATTGGGTGACAAACGAGCATACACCCCATCTGATGGTAAGTGGATGCTATGGTCCATAGAGATAAACATTTATCCTCACTTAAGAATCAAAATGCAAATGCGTTGTCACGTCTGTGGACTAAGATGGAATGCCTCGCTTCCAGTAAAAAGGGTCTCCGGTTCTCTACACTCACCATACGAAACACATCAGCATTACGCTGCTATTTTATCCCTGTATTCTGTGAGAGCGTGGTCCTGCCCTGGTTGAGCCGACTCATTCGTGCTACAACTATAATATAACTTGTAGCGTGGCTTTACCACGTACAAAAAGTTATTATAGGAGAAATAAGAAAACTAAACACAAAATCACAAAATTACGCACAGTAAGCTCTCGAAACAGAAACAGAAACAATACTTATTGAAAGTAACTTTTTTCATTTACCACTGGTTCGCAAAAAAACCTCTGTCCTGGGAAGAACCAGCAAGAAACCCAGCGGGACTAGTTTTTTTTAGAATAAGAGCTTACAATCATGTATGTTACAATTAACAACACAAAACAAATTAGAAATAGCTTGGTAGCGATCACACTTCCCAGGGGTTATTATCATCCATAAATTCCTTAATATTATAATAACCCTTTTTATACAAACTTAGTTTAATAAAGTTTTTGAACTTTGTGTACTTACGTCAAATTGAAAAAACAAATTAGAAACGAGAGTTTTCTACAAATTTACTTTGACAAGTGAAATATAAACTTTTTTATTCATGATTCATATAATTTAATGTATTTTGAAAATAAAAATTAAATTAAACAAATAATACATTAAAGATATTAATGATTCGATTATTAGAATATTTTTACCAATTATTTGAATATTTTGCCGATTATTCGCATAATCATGAATTTTAATCATCCAAACACTACGGTAATATTATACATAGCGACATATCATTGAAACGACGTCAAGTAATAAAAGTTAGTACTGGTTATTTTTTAATATTTTGCTTTGTTTGAAAAATTCAAATTTAAATTACATAAACATAAACACTCACGCCTGTCACCCAGAGGGATAGGCAGAGACTACAGACTTCCATTTAGCACGATCCTGACATACCTCTCTCGCCTCTTCCACATCGATATACCCACGCATACATGCTCGTCGGTTAAGGGTACTCTTAATTTGGTCCATTTTTTTATATCGTCAATTTGGTCGACAAACTTCCGCCTAGGGCGTCCCTTTCCGACTCTTCCATTCAGTCTTTTTCCTCATTCATTCTTTCCAGATGACCAAACCACCGAAGCATTCCTTTCTTAATCCTGGTCACTGCATCATCTTGCAAACCACACTCTTCTTTTATCACACAGTTTCTCACCCTGTCACTCAGATTCAGCCCTAACATACTCCTTAGCGACCGCATTTCTACTGCGTTTATTCTACTCTCGTGCTTCTTCTGCCACACCCAACTTTCACTACCATATGTTAAAGTAGGGACTAATACAGCTTTAAATTTGCATTGTAAATTTGCATTCACAATTCACAATGCAAATTTAAATTAGTGATAAAAAACTATACACGTTGTAATGAAATATAGATAACTTCATAATTCTTCGGATTTACGTAAAAGGTTATTTTAAATCATGTGATTACGCTTGTGAAAAGTTATTGCGGAATGATTAATGTGAAACGTCAAAAGGTATTTCTTAGATTTGGTTGACTATAGTTGATTTTGGTTGGAACATGACTTCATTGAAAGTGTTCGAGTTTGAAGATCATGTCGTAGGATGCTAGAAGAAATCATGGCTTCTGATGGTGGTTCTCATGTACCATCCTATGTACGCCAGACGTTAAAGACCCGAGGCGGCGAGTCAACTCTGTCAAAGGTGCTCACGTCTGGTTATGATCTTCAATTCGCCAGTCAAGTGTGAGGAGTAAGGCAAATTGTCGCTGCACTGGGAGAGGTCCATGTCCAGCAGTAGTGTTCACTTTTACAGGCTTCGAATACATTGATGATGTTCTCATTGTCATCTCATTTCATAAATTGAAGTCGGTTGTACAATTGTTCATTTTTTTTATAGACTAAGGGTGACAAACGAGCAAACAGTCCACCTGATGGTAAGTGAATGCTGCGGCCCATAGACATCTACATCTATCCTCGATTAAGAATCAAAACGCAGATGGGTTGTCACCCCTGAGGACTAAAATGGAATGCCTCATTTCTAGTAGAAAGGGTCACCTGATCTCTACACTCACTATACGAAACAGCAATATTAAGTTGATATTTTACGCTGGTATTCTGTGAGAGCGTGTTACTTCCCCGGTCGAGCCGACCCATTCGTGCTACAACCATATTATAGCTGTAGCATGGCTCTACCACGTATAAAAATTTACCACTTGGTAATCAAATAGCTTATATTGAAATTCCACCCTAAAGTTTGTAAATTTTTTAATGTAATTTTTATTACATTAGACTATATTTTAGTTGTTACTTTGTGCATGTTACATTTCTTGATTCACTCAAGAGTCAAGAAATCTCTATGTACGCTTAAGTAGACAGAATGATTAAAAGGTTTATATGTATAAAGGTTTATAGGTATATATATAATACATGCATATATTGTTGAGATCCGAAAATCATCCGTGCGAAGTCGGGGCGGACCACTAGTGAACTTAATAAAATGTAAAAGCCGACTTGAAAAAGCAAAAGTTATAAAATTATTTTCATACAGTAGCTTCTGAAGTCGGGGGTAGTTATTATTTTATACATTGTCTTAGTTGTTTTTTTTTTGTCACTTTAAAAGCGATTATGTGAAAATTATTTTATTCTTTTTAATTGTTTGAAGTATAAATGTTTAATTTTCTTATTACACGAAGACTACTAAATGTATGTGGGCCTGCAGCTGTACCCAGCTGTGGGGTGTGGGGTATATATAATATATAATATGCTGTATGTAAATATCTCAGTAAATGAAATACAACTTTTCAGATATACTCTTAATAAAGAAAACAATTAATATGCCCAGAAAATGCATTGTCTGTAACAAAACCTTTCCTAGACCAAGAGATTGCAAGCGGCATTTTATCATGCACCTTCTCTTCCAAGCGTTAAGATCTAAAGTAAAAAACAACAACCAGTTACTGTGCCAGCTCTGCGGCGCTGACCAGAACAGTCCAGCTAAATATAAGGAGCACATGAGGGAGCATGCTTCCATGGCCATATATAAATGCCGAATTTGCGCCAAAACCTTCAATGACAACAGCAACTATTCCAAACACATGAAAGTGCACAATCTGTGTTCATTTATCTGTGACAAGTGTGGTGCAAAATTTCTCGTGAAGAAGTGCCTAATTGACCATTTGCAAGTATGTATTTTTTATGTACGTTACACGATATATTCGTCAATTGTAACCAATTTTAATGACTCTTAAGGCCGAATACGAAGCGATTAACCTTGCTCGTTTCGCAGCGAACCGCGCGCCATCTATCGAACATCACGTGCGTTATCCGTACGAGTGCGCTAGCTCGATATGCAGAGTAATGAATAACAGAGAGGGCATTGCTTACTTCTTAATTAAATCTTATTTATAATTGTAGTTCCTATAGATTATAAATTCTGTACTTTATTCATTCCTCTTTATAATATTTGTCTAGATTATAAGTTCTGTTAAGTTAATCTGTAAAGAAAAATTATTGAATTGACATCGATTTGTTTTCTGAATTGGTGTATCGTACGTAAAATACTTCACGTAACTGAATTGTAAACTGTTTGTTCTTGTGAGTTTTACAAGACGCCGTAATGCAAATTGGATAAATAATAACGAAAAAAATTAAAAAGTCTCTGTTTGCCCAATAGTAGGTGTAGGTACTGTATGTGTAAAATCTCACAAGACTACTTCGACCGGTTAATCACTTAATACCCGTAGTATATCGGTTTTTCTAAATTATGTACTTACCACATACTTTCGGACAATACATTGACAATGACATTATTTGTGGTCTCTGTGCTTGCACTACTCTGTACATTATTTTCCGACTCGGTCGTGATATTTACATTTTTAGAGTTTCTCACTTCATAACGCAGAAACGTATAAATAATCAGTTTTGCTAATGTAAATTAGTAAAAATCCATCCTATTAGGCAACCTTAAACAAAAAAGTACCATGCAAAAAATTATAACCTCCAAGTGGAACGTATCACATTCGAGGAGCGTTCTTGCGATAAACGCTCTTTGTTTTACCACTTATATATAATACTAAAAGAAATAAATATTATTTATTTCTTTTCCTACGCTTATTCATATTTATTGTCACTTAAACGAGTGTAAACCCCTAAATTAACGATTTTCTATACAGACATAACTGACTGTTGTCACCTTACGCCACACATCGAAGCGCCTGGTAATTTATGACGGCAAATTTTTATCTGGCAATATGTAATATTATTACGAGTACTAGGCGTTTGTATTTAAACAAATTATCTTAAATTGTATCGCAAAAGGTCGAAAATGAAGAAGGCATGCACCTTCGGAATCACAATACAAATATTTTTACGTTAAAAAATAATTTTTCCTTAACTTATATTCACAGAGTTTTGGAAGAAAAATAATTTTGAGATATCATTTCTTAACACATTTTTAAATTGGTATATTAACTTATTTTAAAATTTTAAAAAGGCAGCCATCTAGTGAAAGTACCGAACAAACCTACAAAGTATGTTTTAACGCTTAAAATTACTTCAGGTCCAAGTTCTAGTGAACAGAAATACATAAAATTTCCTTAACAACTTAAGCAACTGTGAAAAGAGAATAAGTAAGACATTTATTTTTAATTTTTAATATAGTATAAGGGTTACAAAAAGCACCCGATCCGCCTAATGGTAAGTGGATGCTGTGGCCTAAAGACAAATATGTACATTTATCCTGAATTAAGAATCAACATATGTATAGATGCGTTGTTAACCCTGAGGACTATGAAAGAATACCTTGTTTTCAGTAAAAGGGGTCAACGTAATGAGTAACGGTGAACACATTTTTCATTATGTAAACAAGTAATTATTTTAAAACCGTTTCGAGATTGTTCGTTTCTTAACCTTATTTTGATATTTAAAAATCTTAAAAGTAAGGGATGGCATTTTTTTTAAATCAAATATACATGAAATTATGTATTTATTTGCATGTATTTAATATTTTTGAAAAAATGTTAGCTGAAAGAAGCGAGGTAAATATCTGGTGATTTAAAAACCATAATCACACTGTCTTGCTTATCAAATCTTCAAACGTCAACGTCTTAATCTTTCAATTACGTATATAAGATACGGTTATATTTTTACTTGATTAGGGACTGTTTAGTCTTGCTAACGCTTGAATTTATTGTAATTATCGACTTTATTTTTTTATTTTTATAGGATAGGGTGACAAATGAGCACACAGTCCACCTGATGGTAAGTGGTTGCTGCGGCCCATAGACATCTACATTTATCCTCGATTACGAATCTAAATACAGATACGTTGTCACCCGTGAGGACTAAGATGTAATGCCTCGTTTTCAGTAAAAAAACACGTTCACTCCGACGTTCTCTACACTCACCATACGAAACACAACAGCATTAAGCTACTATTTCACGCTGGTATTCTGTGAGACCGTGGTCCTTCTCCGGTCGAGCCGACCCGTTCGTGCTACAACTATACTACTAATATAACTGTAGCATGGCTCTACCAAGTACCGAAATTGATTACAAGCATTTGAAACGTTTTTTCCTTATCATCAGGAATTAAAGGATGTTAATAAAAATGTATCCTATTAAGAATCTAAGTGAATATCTTCCATATTATCGAAGAATATTGTTACGACACCCAGCTGCGTATAACGTCACATAGCAGAATGTTCCCGACGATGAGTAATAAAATATGTAGGTATAAAAATAGATAACGCTTAAAAAACGACAACTCGAACATCAAAGTTTTTTTCCGACGGTTCAATCAAATATTTTTTTATATCGATTACATAATACAGTGTTTTAAAAATCCATTCGTTTATTACAGTTAAATTTAGTATTTCATGCGCATATTTGTTTTCCTAACGTTATACTATATATGTATCATACAATAGTTTTGTGCAACATCTCCTTAATGCAGCAAATGGGCAACTTCGTACAATGTAATGGACCCCACCACGGTCAGTTAAAGTCATCAATTGAACTGATATCAGTTCGAACGGACTTAAGCCAAAGAAATTTCCACACACACGGTCAGTTACAATGATCAGTTCAAACTAGGCGTGTGATATATTTTTAAATTTCGTATTTTTGATATATTCATAATTATATCAATATTGGAGTTCCATATATCGTAAGTTAATATATCTACAGTAGTTATTAATATAATAAATAAAAAAAAATCTCACAGCATTCCATCAAGTCCTCACGTAAACGCACTGCATTTTGATTTAAGAGATAAATGTAGATGTAGCCCAAACCACTTACCATCATCCTCTTTGTCACCCTATTTATAAAAGTCAATATCGGATTTTTATATATCGAAAAAAATATCGGTATATTGATATATCGGCTTTATTTAAAAAAAAAAACAATCGCAAGTCATTTATTTTAGTTCATTTATTACATTTATTAAGCAAATTAAATTATAAATGTATGAAAATGTTATATCATAGTTACTATTAATCATTGACTTATATATTACTAGCGTAAAGACCGATTTACACTTCGATAAGTACAGTAGCGAGTTTAGTTACAGGACAGTTGACTGTAAACGGTTAAGTGGGCAGTAGCGTTCAAACAATGTCTTTTTTTTGCGCCCGAAGCAATTATGGGCAACCCTCCGAAAAGCGGGGGAGGGAGGTGGGGAATGCTCATAGCATACCACGCAACCGGCTGCGTGCTTATGTGGAGACTTTTACCAACTAAACCCCACATTTTAGGGACTGGCATAACGGTCTAACTAGAGATCTCTAAGCCGTATACGGACGCGACCGTCCTTGGCAGAAAGGAGGGCGCAAATCAATGTCTTCGTAGAGAGTTTAATTAAGGACATTAGTTAATAGAGTTCGTTGGAGTACGACGTTTCAAGAGTACAGAATTTTTCCGGTTTTCGTTTAAGATGGTTCTAGGATTACGTCAAGAATTAAATGATCTAGTCAGAGAAGTATTAATGGTTGTTGTTAAAGAAGTTTTTAAGCATTTTCATGAGTGCAGCATCTCGAGCAGAGAGCATCAGATCAGAGCTGTACGAATTTATACGTGATATCCATTGAAGTAATATGTACTTAAGTACTAGAACAGCTATCTCAAACAAAAAATGTGCGCTACTCTGTGTTCGCGCGCTTGTTTTTTTATCATAGAATAAACATAGGTAGAATGATCCGTAGGTAATAGTAGATTATATTGTTAAATAGGTCAATTATATAGAGAACAATTTTCAAATTTTGTCATTTATTTTGTATATTATATTTGCTTATTTAATACAATATTACATAATATTATATCACAATTACATTTTAATGATATTTTCATCTGAATATTTAAAAGGTATCTATGTCAAATATAAAAAACATACTAAATGTATGTTTAACAAAACTTAATATAACATTTAAATTACAAATGTATATATTTAAATTAGAATAAGAGTCGTTCGTAAATGCTGGGCACGGGAGAGTTAAAAATGAACGAATTTATTCCACTTTGACTTTGATGTGGAAACCTAAAAATAAAATAAAAGTGAAATGAGCAGATTTAAATATAAAAAATTTAGCCTAATTATGATAACTCATATATTTTTCTACAAAAAATGTGTATAATAATATATTCGCCCTATACTTAAGTACCCACAGAAATGTCGCATCTGAACAAATTAATTTCATGATCTAACAAATATTACATGACACGAGATGGCGTCTTAAGTATAATTTGTTTTATTATTAATCTATAATACTTTTTTATTGATTAAGTATCTTATTAACCGATGAAAAGTAATTCCTTGGTTTTTACTGATATTTCTTGAATTATTTGTGCAATATCGTCCACATGGCATAATTAGAGATTTTTTTAAATCAACACAACACCAACCACCGGGACCGATTACATCACAATCAAATACCTATGCAGTATTATAAAAGTACAATTGTACGTGCGCGCAAACGGGAACCCCCGGCTTAATTAAAAGACCGGGACGACCGATTACACCGATTACAGTTTAGGGCCAACCCGAATCGGTCGTCAGTGGTGCGCGCGCAGGACAGATTTACCTGACAAAAATATGCCTAGTTGCGTGGTAAATGGATGTAAAAATTACGATACTAAGATTAAAAAGGAATATGAGATATCGTATCGTCGGTAAAAAACCTTATAT